GTGTACAACGGCGAAACAACGGCGCCAAGCCATCCTGTTCGTCTCTGGGCGTCCGCATTGCCGCATACCGTGCCAAGATAGCTCGCCGACGATCGCGTTGCGTGAAATTGCGCTAAACCAACGATAATTGGCTAGCTTTCATCGTCAAAAAACCTTCCGTTCGACACTTTTCTTTCTTATCGATACCAGCGTATATGAATATCGCGTCAAACTATTTCATTTGCAAGTATTTCTTATACCATACAGACTGTCCCATCGATCACCCCTCGTAACTTTGCAGGGAGCGGTCGTAGAGAAAAATGTTTCGGGCAAACGCTGTATGGCTTCAAGGGGGACATAAGATGGTGTCATTAATTTGACCTTGAATAGTCGCTTCAAGGTCACGTGAAGGTCACCTGTAATTTTTTTTTAACGGAACCTCCTATATTTTTTTATTCGCCTTTGAATACTTTTTGAGATATTCAAGAGACAATTGATAACGTTTTCAATAGTTAGCTTATGATGTCACGATAACTGTTTGTCGGAGGGAAAAGTAGTACAGGACTTTTTTTTACTTGATTTGGTCTCAGGAACATGCTGTTGCGATAGTGTTCCAATTATTGAAAATTTGTGCATAGGGGACAATTGAAATTTTTCTATTACTACTGAAAATTACAAGAGTAAGCCGATGACGAAGTCAATGTGTAGGGTGTCTCGTATAAGAAAATGTACTCGTACGTTTTATTTGCGAAAGCTATCGCGCAACCCCACCGCATGCATCGTGCTCATTTAATAGTTAGAACCCAGGGGTATCCATTAGGAGATCCTTAGTTCGCTCGGAAACTTGAAGCAGTATCTCTTGCTCCTATATAACTCGTAGGGGAAGCGGCTTACTATCGGCGCCCCTGGATATAAAGCCAAAGTTTCCTCTCTTCTGCGAGGGATTTTCTAAGCTTTAGGACATGCACTAGGCGGCACTCTGTAAACGATCGCCATGCGCCTCGTGTGCCATATTAATAGGGCCATCTCCATAGGCAACTTAATATTGGACATGGCACGCGATCCCGCGCGGTCCTTAGAAGTAGAAACGATTTATGACCGCGGACGGCAGAGGATTTGTAAATAGAATCTCGCTCAAGGAGTGTACTCGCGTGCGTGCTCCGCATAAACAGCCAAGTCGCGCGCACACTGTGCAAAGAACTCCAACTTGCGTTTTTATGAAAATATTAATCTACGCGGCACAGACTCGGTCAGTCGACTCTAAACCGTGGAAAAAGGAGCAAGATTTTTCTTCATTACGTTCGCCAACAAGTTTCAGTGGAACTTAATAAAAATAACCAACAGAGATGACTTTGGCCGCGCTGCCGTTCTGACTCTTCGGAAAATTCATTCCAATTAAGTGCAAGCATCAAGTGTACGTTCAATTAAATAAAACTATTGAGTGCAAATGGAAAATTTTCGAAAAGAAACACTCGATAAATTTAGGAAGGTAGTTGAAGGAAACGCTGGCGGAGAGAAAGAGAAAGAATTAATCTGAAATGATCGAGGGACAAATTTCAAGTCAACCAATCCGCTCTGCAACTTTAAAGGCGAGCAACGTACGGAACAAATTGCCATTAGGTGAGCTCCAGCTGGGTGTGCGTCTAAATTAGCCAACAACAGTCGATTCTCCAGAGATAAAGTTCCCGAGGGATACTTCGACAGTAGCCGTAGGCGAACGTTCGAAAACCAACCGCGGAAATTTCTGACGGTCTGTAACTGACGACGAGATGTAACTGCCGAAATAATCGCTCGAGTGATTTGTACGGGTAGCGCGTAGCCGCGTAGGCGTCTACGTTTCGCGAAGCGTTGCGCATTACCGGATTGTTTGCCATGCATTTCCAACGGTCCGTCTTGTCTGTCGGAAGTTCCGCCGGTCGACGTGACCCCGACGCAGTTCGATGCATAATGTGCGACAGCAGAAATTCCGCTATGAGCATTTGCATACGTAAACGCCGCGGGCCGGGCGTTTGCAGCGCCCGCGGTCGTCGCTAAAACGCGCTACAGCGCTATCGCGAATCGGTTGACAGCTAGAGCGATCGACGCTCTGGGGTTTTTCGTCCCAATGTCACGTAGATCGATCATGTAGATTTCGTAATGCGATGTTAAAAGTATCTTTGAGTCACGATGACGTCTCTCGGACCGAATCGACGTACCGGTGAGATATTACATTTTTGCCAAATGGATTTAGAAGGGAAGCGTAACCGCACAAGTTGACAAAAAGTAGATTCATATTCCGTTGGTGGAGAGAGGAACCGAGTTTGGCGGACAAAATAAAATCTGTCCCGACCACAGAGACACGTCCCCTTCTCGTCCTCTCGTAACTCGCTCCTTCCTGAACCCATCCGCGTGCTCTTCCGCTACTCTTCCCGTTTCCGCATAACTTGACTGACTCATTGCGCACGTGCCAAGGTACCCTGCGCACCACCAATCGGTGAGCCTTAACGTGCAACGCATCTCGAAAAGATCTCTCCGAGAGAAAGTGTACGCTCAAATCCCACTAATCGTCAAGGAATCGCAGCTTGAATTTCGGTTCTCCAGACGCCGGGGACGACACACGACATAGGTGGTATCGATATAAGCGAAAGGGATAACGCGAAAGGGGTTGGCGCAACCGGAATGTACATCGTGGCGCAACGGTGTCGCGGCTTGGGATACGCTCTTGTCCCGGCGCATCCCACGTTACGGCTGCAATCGAGCTGGCAGGTACTGCGGGCGAGTGTCAAGGGAACACGCCGCGCGACCGTCGTGCAATCAGGCACGCCACAGCCCGCTGTGATGCAACGGAAGTGGAAGAGGGTACCACCTATACCCTCACCCGCGCGCGTTACCATGAGACTTGACGCCCGGCGAATATAAGCGAACGAGCTTCGTGTGCTTCGAGCTCACCAAGAAAGATGCCTTAGCATCGCGACTGTACAAAACATTTTTTAATCAAAATAAGTACTCCTTTTTCAAACAATATATACGCCCACACTATGGTTATATTACGGTGTTAAATATCAAATGATGAAAAATTATGTTTAATATATTTTACCTTCGACCTTCATTTTTACCAAGGATTCTACTACTACCAAATTCCTACCTACAATAAATTGCGGTACAGCTGAAGTAAACGTCTTGCTGCAGCGGACTCACGCTCGTTTTGGATCCTAAAACACTGCATTCAGGCGCAACGTAAATTCCGCGAGAACGCAGGAGCACGAGAAATCCCCGACGAATGTACATAGATTATTAAAGTAAAGCTAGATTTAAAGCGCATTTAGCCGTTTCGGAGGACGTCAACCCACCGTCTAATTTCCTATATATTTTCCTTCGTATTCCTATTACGGCCTCTGCAAATACTCGTCGTCATTATTGTCAAATGTAGTTTTCGAATGTACGTAGGTACTAACGTTAGAGCTAACACCGAGTTTGTCAAGTTAAAAAGAATCCACATTAAATTCTATTTGCGTTAACTTCCTCGTACGGGTAACGAAACAGTTTGCAAGTTTTGCCAGGCCACTCTAGCAATGCACGATTTACACGTGCACCACCATTGCACTTTCCCCTAGGTAACACAAGTACGTAACGCGCTACAAATTGGCTACTACCCTCTGCCTTGCTCAAGCACTACCGGGACTTGTGCCATAAGTCACCCTACTCGTTTCTCGCTCCGCCCTCACCTTGGGACGAATCGCATCTCGAATTCAATTTCACGAAATGGTCATTACGTCACAAATTTCTAAGTGTTTTCGTAAAACCATTCGAACGTAAAATATTGAACAAGCCGACTTTAATTCCTCATCAACTTCGCCAGCGGTGTTATTCTTAATGAATCAGCCGTCCGACAAACATTTTAAATAAATAATACCCGCTCGAAGTATCTTCATCCACGTAGACCCGCGTACGGAGAGGCAACTCTCTTGGAAAAGAATTAATCGGCAGCCAATACATTAAGAATTTAATCACGGTTAATACGAAATTAATGAAGCGGACGATCGTTGGGGGGGAAAAAAACTCTTGCCATGACTTTACTTTCCAGTTATAGCGTGACCCTAAGCGCTAAAATCGTATTACTATATCTCAAAGATCTCCGCACTCCCGAGCACTGGATTTTAGTGAACGATCCTACGCAAAGATATCTCACTCGAATTCCCTCGCGAACGAGCACAGTTTTCCGAAGCAAGTATCGCGAGTGTATCTACGTTTATTTACAGAAATAAAAATCGATAACGGATTGTATTATTGGCCACACGGTAAAAGTAAGCGGATACTCGTAACGGTCTTGATTAAAGGTTAATAAACTGCATCGTTACATGTCACATTTGCTTCAACTAGCATAATCGTCGTAAGTAGAAATCAATGTCATTTAGTCCATTGGCCGTAACAAGCAACGCTAGAAATTCTGGCACACTTTCTCCACGCACTCTTAACGTACATGCGTATATGTTTATATTCGCGTGACTGCATCGGTATAATTTAACATACGGAACACGGCTGCATTCCATTCGTTGCAGACAACCGCGAATAGACTCTACCTCGGACAACGGAAGGCTTGAATTAGGTGCATGACAAATCGCTGCGCATGGATAATTTATCTGTTAACATAACGTTGTCTGCCGGTGCTGAACATGGCGAAACAGCCTGTCTAATTATAATTTACGAAAGGGACATGTGATATCATACGCGAGAGATCCGAATGACGAAAGTTACGAGTACACAAAATTTACATACCTACAGCGTTATAATCGCTAAGATAATACAACTAGCGCAAACAGGAGCAAATATTTAAAAACTGACATTTACTTTCTATCGCTCGATGAAAGCTTGTATAAATAGCCCCCTGTTTAATTTACACACGTTCAATAAATAGAAATTAATATTATACGTATTATTTTCCGCCGTCAATCGATGTAATCAATTTTCATCTTTAATTAACGATAATGTGCTGAAGAAATGGCAGCTTTTGAATGTTCACTTGGCAGATATAGATCGTTCACTTACTCGGGCCAGGTGCGACGAACGTTGAAGTGATGAAAATTTAGAACAACAATTTCATCTTGATGACCAATGAATGTGTACAGAAGACAATCGATATTCGGTGGGTATCGTTTGGGAAAATCAGGAGATGTGAAAGTGCCACCTTGAGGTCTGTCCGAGCTGCTGTACACAACACAAGAACAACCTGTAAAAGAAAACAAGTGTCATATATAGACGTGGAATATAAGAAATGTGAAAGTTAGGAATAATAAGATAACGCATAGGGAAACGAAGTAACGGAAAATTTCAGTAATGTTGAACGACGTCGAGTCGTCGTATCTAATCAACGCTGCAAGCTTCGTCAGATGTGACGTCTCTGTTGGACGCCTCCAACGATTTTAACGTAGAGATATCCTTTTTACAAGCAACTTGTCGATAATGAAATTTCACCATCTGACATTGGTTCCAGGGTGAGGGGCGCGGGCACGCAAGAGAAAAGTTTTCTTATTTCCAAAATGAAGTCGTCGGTCCGCGCATCGATCTCGCGTCCTCGCTTTCGTGCTAGCAGCCGCGTCGAGAATGCCAAACTCAAAGAATTAAATTAAAGTTTGACTTTTCGGGAAGAAAAACTCCACGGAGAAGTACATAATAATTCACGCGGTAAACACCAGTCTCGACAACGAATCAATCGTGCAAAATCCCGTTAAAAATGAACGATTAAGTAAATCTTTAACGACGGCCATTTTACCAAGAGATTTGTTTTGCGTACGTGATCCGCATCGACGCGATATAAAGACGCGACGGGACGTACATAAATTTAGCCGAAACGTATCCGGCGGATCAGACGGCGAATGATTAAGCAAGCCGATAATTTATAGAGGAGTCGTTGCAAAGACCAGCCGACGTTGCTCCTATTATCCGAGAAGCCGTGACTCGCGCAACTGGGAATTGCGAAAATTTAATTTCCTGTTTTTCAATTAACTTTTACGTTAGTCGGACACAGCGGGTCTTCCCGGCGAGCGGACACACAGGAGAATGCAAAGAGCCGTCGTATCTATGGTTAAATAATGGCATGACACTTGAGTTATACCGCCGGTACAAAAGCCCGAACATTCTCGACCAGTTTTATGCTTTGGGGACCCCATTGTATCCCGTAACTCGGCGTAATGCGGAGGGAGTGATTCTCCTTTTTTTTTATTCCGCAGAGGTATGTGTACCGAGCTGTGTAATATACCGGTTTATTGTGCGCCCATTGTTGTAGAAAATAAAGCGATTCAGGGGTGCAGAGCCAACTGTGTGGGTAAGTTGAAATTCGACTGCGGTGCAAATGTTATGAGACTCTCAGCGCTCATAAAGCGGGACACTTGGCAATATTCTCAAAGAAAAAATAACGCAAAAGTCTTGCGAAAATTGCGCGTCTTCTGCATTATAAATTTTCATTCGCATAACAACAATTCAGTCATGTCCCATATATTACGAGAGAAGAAAACCCCGTGTACAGTGTTATTATATTCCGACGTGAAAAAAAACTAAAAGATATCCTATATGGCGGAGCGTAAGATTGTGCTAATGAGGGGGAGAAATGTGAATCACTACAGTACCGCGTTAATGCGAATACAATCATTTATCCAAGATAATATCGCCATCGCTACCCTCACGATTCGTCTCTGTCGGTGCGCTAGTGCTTTGCAATGATTATTCTGGCTGAAACGATCCATTAGCGAGCATTCGTTCGGCACAGCAAGACTAATGCAAACAAAGCAATTTATAAGGATAGTGACGCAATTAATCAGTCTTTCGAAAAAGCGAGACACCAAGAGAAGGAAGCGGCGCGCCAACGAAAGAACATATCGCGTTTCGCGCGCAGCGAATTAATAGCTCCACGAACCACAAGTTAGAAGGGTCTTTAGTAAATTGGCAAAAACATTGTCTTCTTTCTGTCCCCCATACTCTATCAATTTCTACTTAACTATAACAAGCATTTTCATTTTCTTGCAGTCTTCCACCGCTCTACTGCTTTGCCTTTTACCGCCTCTCGTTCTCACCTTATTTTTCGTCAACCGCTCTCGTCGCCACGCCGTCGCATAAAGGTTTCTACAACTGTAAGGACACCCAAGCGACCTGTCGCGTGAAACGTACCAGTGATACTTGAACTTATTTGTCTCGCCCCGTAAGATACGCTGTGACATTTGCAATTTTCTAACGTATCTAGTGTCAATGCTATTCATTTCGCTCCTATACCACCCGTGTACAATACTCCTTTAGCATGTAATCTCTATAGTTCCTATTGTTAACGAAACGCTCGAAATTAAAATGCTCACGTTATAGATTAATTCTATGGATATAATTAGAAATGAATTATACGAATAATTAAAAATAAAACCGGGTCACACCGATCTAAATGAAAAGAAATCAATCACTGCTGCCGCGTTCATAATGCATCGTAGAGTGAAAAGTAGAATGTCAGAGGCGTAAAAATGCTGGCACAGCCACTTCCTCGTGACGGAACTGTCCGAGAAACCTAGAGAATATTTTAAATAGCGGCAGAACTAATTCTCCTCTCGCATCACACACATATAACCTTAACGTATATACGATACATGCTGAGAATAGCATGTACAATGTTAAAAGCGACTACGGCCTCTTGGCTGCTGAAGTGGGGCGCCAGGCCGCTCTAAAACACTCGGAGACATCATTGTTCAGTCACGTTCGTCGGCATTGACTCGAGCATCCTCAAGTTGCACTCTATTTATAACGTACTTTACGATAGTTACAGAGGAAGGAGCAATAGGCTTTTCCGCGAACGGGGAAAAATGCGCATGCGATTAATAACGGACTCGCAAGCGTATCACGACGTTAATTGGCATGCGGCGTTTGTCTACACGTGCACAACCTGCGCGAATATCGATCAGTTAATATACAAGTCTATAAAATGAATCGCTCTCGGCGTCAAAAACTTATCCTTTACACAAGAATAAAAGTGTCTTGTGATTCAATGAATGAAAACAGCACGTTTGCGACTCTACCCCAATTGCTTTTCCCAAAATCTCAAATTTAGAAATCATCGAGAAAATACATAGATGCATCAGGTTCCTTGAAATTGTTATTGTTATTAATTCTTATCAATACCAAACGTAATCTTTTTCTCGCATGACAAAACGCATTCCCTCAAGCATCATAGTATACTGTGAGAACTGCGACAGGTGATTCGTAAGCTGTGACACGAGAAGCGCGAAGCGACGTCTTCCCACGACTCTTCGGCTGCCTATACTATTATACGACAGTCACACGAACATCAAAGACATAAGATCAGGATGCCACACTAAGAAGCAATGATATTATTGCCGCACCGGAAACAGTAGAAATCACTTAGCACTCAATTCCAGCCGCAAGTTGACTTTTCTGAATTCGGACTAATGCCGCAAGCTGCTGGCTGCAAGATCGAAACTTGCAAGTTTCCGCAAAAGCGAGGGAAACTCTGTATCGCGCCTCATCCGTTGCTACTTCATACATATATAAGTATATAAATATATACAGGGTGTCGATAGTAGGTGCAAGTGTTATCTTGACCGCGAGCCTACGCAAAAAACGAGTATTAACTCTAAGAAAATACTTTTTTCTATGTTGAAATACCAATAGTTCTGGTTATAGGTGATTAAATATTTAAGTAGATTGAAGCTTAAAGCAAACTTGACTTTAACAGAATTTTAATTTAAACTTTAGCTACTAAAATATATATTGAAAGTTAAGAAGTTGCGAGAAAGTATGGTAAATCAAATTTTCCCTGTAGAACATTCTACTTTAAAATGATAAGAGACACCGTATCTAATTGTAAGGAAAATTACAGTTTATCTGACACACTGTATATGTATATACATCTATATACAAATAGTTCCATCTACTTTTCACATGTGTAGTCATACGTGCCTATATTATAGATAAATCTATTTATATACAGATGGAATCTATAGAATTTTTTATCTGTCTCAGATAGATTCATCGCAATGCAGCAGGCAGCGCGATGCATCTAGATATCTGCTGAAAGCACGACTACCACTACACTTAGATCACGCGATTACTTGGTGGACACAGAAAGGCTTCTGCTAAAAGCTGCTGGATAAAGAAGCAAGAAAAAAGTGAAAACCCCGAGAAACGAGAAGACATAAATGGGGTAGAGGAGGAAGGAAAGCGCACTACGCGTTAAAGAATAGCATTTCCTACGGAACTTAAGCGTATCCTGACTATTTCCGGTTACAAATGTAACCTCAAAGCACAACGGTTCCATACACAATTATCTTGAAAGTGCATCATTTTAAGAAGGAATAGAATCCTTGGAAGACCCAATCTTTCGACGCATCATCTACTTACACGAATCACTTGCCCTATTTACTTTCTCTACATATGATTTTACATGTCGAATACCTATTTAGCTTTTTGCTCCCATGAGAATTTCGTTATTATAAAATCAAGTTTCGTCGGTGTCGTAACATGTTGCATATCGTCAATATAATGGCAATGGATCGGAAAGGTGTCTTTACACTAAATAAAATATATCGTAGAAGTATCGATTTTTAAGGAGAGAAAGAAAGGGAGAGAGAGACAAAGAGAGTTGCTGCTACTATTCCTTCGAGAGTCGATGTCACGAAGTAGACAAAGTTGAGAGAGTACGAAATAAATTGATAATATCTTTAACCCAGGCTGGTAGCCATCAAATGCCATTTTACGAGATCGTCCTATAACTCAAATCATCCACGTGTCTGTAAAATGTGCATATACATGTTACCCTTGAATATTTAATTTTCTGAGATAGAAAACTACTTGAATATTCACTTGAATTGTGCCAGTTTTTTGATTCGACAGTTTCAACGTGGCATACGCTGCCCAACAACTTTTATGTGAAATCTTAAAAGTATAATCGCCAAACTATTATTTTTATCGCTCGTTTGAATTTTTGAGAAAAAAAATATATATATTCGTATTTATTTTATATATATATATATTATCAAAATAAAATAAATTTGTTTCGATCAAGCAAATATCAAACAAATATTGAGAGTTTTATCGGTAAAAACTCTATTTTTCCCAACAATTTCCATTTTGTGGATATATTAAAAAATGGCTACCGCTTATTTTTTTCCATGTAAACGCATGTACCTACGCTGGGTAGATAATTCGGAGGTCGGTCAGTGCTGAACACCTTTATCC